GTGTGTAAATGTCTAATCATTATGTTGTTTTGTACACCTGAAACTAATATTAAATGAATAAATAAATAAATAAATAAATGTTTTTGAGGCAAAAATATATATATATATATATATATATATATATATATATATAATGACCTTCATACCCAGGCAACTGAGATCACCCTATTTATAATGATAGTAATTCCTACAGGGAGAGGATAAATTCTTCTCTTACAGTTGCCTGTTTTGGGTGCTGACTTCCACATTTGTTCTGGATTATTATTAGTTATTGTTATTATTACATTATTTTTTTAAAAAGAGCTTACTTGCGAGGTTCAAATGGTTATAAAGCCTAAATCATCTTTGGAAATATTGTAGTATCACTCGAATAGCTCTTGCTTTTAATTATTTAACAACTTGCAGGTCGAACTACAGCATGCATTACCTCACCTTTGCTTGAACTATCGAAATGCTCAAGACATTACCAAGAACGACTGAATTATTTGGTTTGACTGCAGCCACATCACGACGGGTGCACATTTCCCGCTTTGAGGTACGAGAGGATATGGGCGCCTTTCCAATGCAGCCATGCAATGAAGAAACCATCCCTGACTGGGGTGCCTAAGGCAGAGAATAAGGTCCTAAGCTGACGGAACCCACCCACCAGGGCGGTGCCAAGTCCCAGCAAGTGCTGTGTCTCCTCGACTTTACTGATGAAGAAGTAGGGTCCAGGGCCCTCATGCCCAGAAGTCTGTGCCGGGCACTGCTTTCTAGCTACACGCTAACTTCCAGCCTCCTTGCAGGTCCCGCCCGTTCAAGGTGCTCAGAAGTCTTGGCGCGTCATCTTCCCGCCTCGGATTCCCGCCCCGTCCCGCCCTGCCCCGCCCACCCCTCCCTGCTCCGGGCAAGACTTGCTAATCTGATTGGCCGAGGGCGGCGGGGGGCGGGCCGCGGGGGGGGGCTCCCCGGGAGCCTAAGGGCAAAGGCGCTGGTAGGGCAGGCTGGGCGCACCGGGAAGGTTGGATGCCGCAGGCGCCCGCGGACCAGGCTGGACTGCTTGGGGGACTCAGGATGAGGACGCGCTGGGCGACCCCTCGCCGCGCGGCGGAGCTCCTCGTGCTGCTCCTCCCATGCTTAGGATTGGCGGAGGCCTCTGTCCGCGCAGGTAACTGCGGATGTGTCCGCCCGCCAGCAGGCTAGAGACCTCGAAGCTGCCGGGGTTGCAGACTTCCCTTGGTTCGGGTTAAGGCTGCGCTCCGGGGTCAGGTCATCTCTGCTTTGCTCCGGGGTCTGAGGCCGGACTAGCGAGCCGAACGGGAGGTCTGGGGTGAAGGTGCCACCAGTCCCCCGTGGCCGGGAAAAGGGCTGGTTGAGGCGTGGCAGGGCGGGGCCTTTCTGGTGCTGAAGGGCAAGGAGTCTACGGCAGGGGAGACCACCGAGTCTTTCCTGGGTGGGACCCGCCTCTTCCTCATCCTCTCTCCTTTAACTTGCTTCCCTGGAGTATAGGGCTCCTCAGCCCCTACGCCCCATCCCGCCCGTCTCGCTTTTTCTGTGCCCCGGTTCACTTTGGACACTCATTGTCCAGAGGAGCTTTCTACCCACAGCGCCAAAGATGAGTAATGGTTCTCCATCTTCACTGTGCCCACGGATGCACGAGAAAAAGGAAGTCAGGTTAAGCCATGTCTTCTAAAGTGACCATGACTCTGTTAGGATGCCCTCCCCCAATGCCTTGAGCAGGGAGCGACCCTTTCCTCTCATTGGCTTATCAGCTCCAAACGATCCCCGTGAGATCGGTGGTCCCACGAGGGATGACAGATAGTTTGCCCGGAGATTTCCTGCCTCTTTCGGCGGAAGCAGGACAGGAACCGACGCTTTTAGTTGATGCTCTGGATAGTGCCTACCCCACCATCCCCCTTGGCACCGACCAGAGTTCACCGAACGGTGTTTGCTTTTACTTTCTCTTTTTGCCTTGGCAAAATGTGTGCGGAGGACTTTGTTTCTTAGTTGAGCTGCGGCTTCACAGGCAATGCGCAATCAGTGGGCAGTCCCCACCCACCGCTTGTTACCTTTTCTGTATGAGGAAGTAAAAGATGTTCAAGGGAGTTTTTTAAAAACTTCACATTGCTCGTGGCTCTTGGTTTCTTTGCAGCTAAACTTAAGAAACTGGTTTAGACATTTTTCAGAGAGTGATGGAAAGGTTTCTCAGACTGTCGGTGACATCACACTGTCTACATCAGCAACCTTTGAGTGGACCCTGCTCTGATTCACACTTCTCCATTCTTTTTGGACCCTTCCTGTTGGAAACTACCAGAAATCCTTTATTGCTGTGAGAATTCTATCCTGCCTGCCCCACAATGCAGGGCAGAAAAATGTCACTGCAACAGCTAACTCCAATCAAAACACTAACCTTTCAGTCCCCAAACTCTTTTAGGCTTTTAGCCTCTACATCTATTTTAGGCTTATCTATTTTTGTCTCCCCCACAGAAGCCAAGATTTCCTTAATTTTTGCAGTATCTACAGTCCCTGGCCTTCCTTATTAACTCAAAGCAAAGAGCACAGGCTTAACTCCATTCTCCCTGCGCTAGGTGCTCTCAGTATCTTTTTTCCTGCATCCTTTCTCACCCTTCGCAGCGACTCTGGTTGGCTTTCTCACACCCTCAGACCAGACTTGTGGCCCGATTCAGGGAAGCACTGGAATTTTGAAACCCCAGCCATTTGGGTAATTTGCTTGGCAGCGTGTCAGCTGCATGATGCTGGTAATGGCATGCACCTCATCATATGTACGCAGCTCGGTTTGTGCAGGTGGTCTCGGTTGCTCAGATGCTAGAGGAGTACCTCCGTGTCCTTGGGGAAATGCCAGTGGCTTAGTTTGCCTTTTTGCCTCCTTAGAGAGCTAACAGCTTCAAGTCAATGAATCGTTCTGGGACTGTTGAGTCTCTCACCAGCCCACACCACCCAATCTGAACTCCATGACTTTCTGACTCCTAGTAGACTGCCATGGACCCAACGGTCACTTCAAAACCTGTGTTTGAGCTGGCCAACACAGTCTTTGGTTCTCTCCTAGTGCACTTGTATGGTGCACACGTGGTAGTGACGTCCCAAAATGCTTAACAGGGTGGGCTGGGAAAGTCCTCTGAAATTAAAAATGCTGCGGTCTTCATCCTCTTGCCTTCCCAAGCATCTCCCTCTCCGTGTGCCTGTGGTTATGAAATGCTGATGTCCAGCTTCTCTTTGGAATGTACAAAGCTCTTTTTAGGGCTTGTAAAACAGGAGTTACTTAATGATCAGACACTAAGAGATAGTTTTCCTTTGATGGTTGTGGAAATACTAAAAATTCATTTTCAATTTATGATAATACTACCTAGCCATGTCCTCTCAAGTACCACTAGAATGTTATATAAAATGAAGCATATGAAAAGTGCTACTAAGAGCAGTGAGGCTTCTTTTCATAAACCTCTGCCTTTTAGACTTGTCCCAATATCATATTTGGAGGTAAACATTAAATTCCATTTAGGACCAGTCTAGTTGTAAACTGAACAAGATGTGATATACATAAGGCTATCAATAAAGAACCTATTTTATAAATTGCTCTGTAATTACCTTTTCAAAGTGTAGTGAATTTCTGAAATATTTTATATATCCTTATTTAACCAATTTTCTAAAAAAGGAATTATTTTCGCACTTTCTTAGTCCTTCTTCCCACTCTTCAAGCTACCATCCCAATAGGGTCACAAGACTGAGGCAGACTGAACAACTCCTGTTCAGGGTAAGGAAAGTTATGGGGAAACATTGTGAAAAGACAAGACTTTCCCTAGCTTGCACATTTGTATGAATGCTTATACATACATTATGTATGAAGGCTAATAACTCGTTTCCTTAAATCATATCAATCATTAATGTCTGTGCTAAGTGACCACTATAGGTATCAAACATTGATATTCCATACTAGGGTAAAAGACGGATTTAGAATGAGGCAGCACCTATCATTATAGATGTTGCAGTTAGGTACAAAGTTTGGCAACCCCTCTTTCACATAGCTGCTCCTTGCTACACAGCTCTCCTGCAGTCTTTCAGAATTGTTACAAGCTTGTCAAGTCCACGTGTCCCAGAAGTAATGCATATAATAAATGGAAAAGGGTACATAATTTTTCTCTTCCAAAGGGTATTTATGAAGCCGCATTGTCACTTATGTCCACATGCTCAATGGATTTGAATGACCCAAAATGCTGATAGAATCAAGTTGTGGGCATCTCTGTTCAAGGACAGCATGCAGTGAATTTAGCAAAGACCTAAATTTGCAGTAATACCTGCAAAACTAGAGACACTGCTATCTGGTGGACATATAGGATGCTAGTTTTGGAAGTATCTTGGATAATTTATGCTGTACTCGTTTCATCTTACATTTGGAGATATGAAGACCCTGGGGAGATTAAGTACCTTCCCTGGGGTCTCCCAGCTAACTGGTGGCAGAGGGAGGTCTTTAATCTAGGACCCCTCATTCCTTATTCCACTGCTCTTTTCACTGGACGAAGAGCCATAGCTAATCCATTGGATTCTGCAAAGGCAACTTGAAAAATCTAGAACGCCACACTGCAAAGGTAGGCCAAGCTGCTGTTTGTCCAGTTCACCTGTTTGGGGTCAAAAGGCACAGAGCAGAGCGCTCAGGAAGGAGAGCACGGCGACTATAGAAAAGGGGAAGTTCCCAGCGTGAGTGGCAGGTGCCCATTCTTCTGCAGGAGCAGACTGCTTTTTTTCCTGCAGGAATTCCTGATACTTTGGAACACAACATTTATTTTAGAGAGGTGAGAGAAAATAAATTTGAAGAGAGGCACATCACAGGTCTGAAAGGCTAGTAGATAGACGTGTGAGAGAAGGACCTTAGAGGAAGTGTGAGTGATACTTTTCTAAGAGAGTACATTTTCCTCTTTTGTTGATTATCTTCCCAAAGTGTCCATAAGGTAGAGAATGGCAGAGTGATGTCCAAGAAGAATGAGGGATGGAGCTGCTATGGCAAACATACTTAGATGCAACCCTAGGCAATATTTTCAAATACAGACTTAAAAGCAGAAATAACAAAGTTCTAAAGGATTTTGTTCCCGTTGTATCTCTCGTTGCTGCTGCTGCTATTTAAAATAAAAAGTTTTATCCAAAGTACAAACTGGACTCAGACTTAATTTTATAGTTATTATTTACATAGGGAAATTTCCCCTCAACTCCTTGGCATGAAAGTGTCTACTTCTGAAAGCGTGTGAATTATGAGACGAGGCAGTTAGTGTTAGTGAAGCTAGTGATTGTGAAACTGGTTTCAAAATGAAAGTGTGTTTTGGGAAGTAAAATTTTACCGGTCCTTCTGTGGAATCCTTTGGTTCATTGATAATAACTATTTAAGTTTGTCTAAACAATTTCAGCTTCACTCTCATCAACATGAAAGTCTGTGCTATAACTTCAAAACATTTTTTCATTGTAAGAGCACTGACCAAATTATTCCATTGTAATTTGTTCTAGCAGATGTGAATCTTGCTCCACAAACTCAGGTGTGTGAGAAACAATGCATTATTTTCATAAAACCAAATACAATTTTATTCCGAGGTCCTTTTTCACCAGGTTAACAGAACTTCAGTTTCTGTTATTACTGAGGTCTTCCCCAGCTCAGGCAGAGCTGCCAAAGGAGCACTCAGGGCAGTCCCTCCCTTTAGCCTTCAGCTTACACTGGGTTATGTCTGAGTTTCCCGTTGTCCAAACCTACTGGGTCTTGAATCTTGTGGCTTAGCTGAAGCTCAGGTTTGGCATCCTTAAGTGACGCACACAGTCAGCCCGGCCTCTCCCCAGAATCCCCCGTCACCTTCCTGGAGGTGCTATGATGGCACTGGCCACAGGTCCTCCTCTCGCCTCCGCCCTAAGAACCCAGAACTCCATTTCCCCTCATCCCTCTATGTAACTATTCTACTTCTGCCCCTCAGAAGTCTCCCCATCTCCTCTGAGACACATTGATGCCATGGGACAATTGACCTTGCCATAGTAAGGTTTAAGCAAGACAAAATTTTCCTGAATAGGCTCTGGATGTTTTTTATTGATTGTAGACACCTGTCTAAAGAAGATGCAAACTAAGGAGCATCTTCATCTCGTTAAATAAGGAGCGAGGGATATTTCATGGAATAACAATAATAAATATACTCTTCTCAGTGTTTTACGTGTATGAGCTCATTTTATCCTCCCATCTGCTGTATGAAGTACTGTTTTACAAGGGAGGAAACGGTTCAATAGCTTGCCCTGATCACATGGCTAACAAGTAGTAGAGGCAGACTATGAAGAGGCAGATGGGCCCCAGGGCACAGGCTGTCATCCCACTCTGTCCTGCACCCCCCACCACCACCACTGTCCGCTGACCTTGTGTAATACATTACAGTTAACACAGCTTAGAGGGTGGGACCAGTCCAGTGGCGCTCAGACCCTCCTCAGCAAGCAGGGGCCAAGGCACAATAGCCACAATTCAGAATCCTGAAATGCCTTTGACTGTCTGTCTCGACTCAGGTAATGACCCATTCACCATCGTCAATGAGAATACGGGCAAGTGCATCAAGCCGCTGAATGACTGGATAGTGGCACAGGACTGTGACGACACCGAGGACATGTTATGGAAGTGGGTGTCCCAGCATCGGCTCTTTCATTTGCAATCCCAGAAGTGCCTTGGCCTGGATATTACCAAACCCACAGACTCCTTGAGAATGTTCAGCTGTAACTCTGATGCCATGCTATGGTGGAAATGTGACCACCACTCCCTGTATGGAGCTGCACAGTCCCGGTTGGTTCTGAAGGATGGACACGCCGTAACAAGTACAAATTCATCTGATTTCTGGAAGAAAGGAGGCTCGGAGGAAAACCTCTGTGCCCAGCCTTACCGGGGTGAGTACTGGAGGGGAACTTTGACTCATGTGTTGTTATGTTTGGTAAATGTGGCATTGAACATGCACAACCGATCATAAATAAAATCATACACTGGTAGTGGCAAGTGAGCTAGCATTCAGTGACTGGTCCTGGGTAGTAACTGTGAGCTACCCCTATGATGTCAGTGCTATTAGCCCCGTTAAAGGTAAGGCCAGGAGAGGTAAGGTGCCTTGTCAGAGATCACACAGCCATTCTGTGGCACATGGGAATTTGAAATCTCTCTGAATGCCTGAGCGTATGTACTTCCTACAATTGCACCCTGAGCTCCAGAGCAAAGGAAAAGTTAGAGTAACAGGAAATCCTTCATACAGGATAAAAGTCAAATCATCTAATAAAGTCAGATCTAGTCTAAGTTAAAAAAGAAGAAGAAAGAAAAAAAATAGGAACTGTTATTCTTCCTTGTCTGCAGATTTTGATAGAATGGAAAACTTTTAAGACTTTCTGGTGGGTTTATTTACTTATTTTTATTTTCGGCATGGCTATCACACTTTGATGTTTGTATTTATGAGTCAGCATTTTAAGAGTGGATTTTTTTTTTTTCTCACAGTGGCTTCCAAAAATGAAGCCTTTGGGGGAGCTGATCTGAACTTTGTTTTGAGCCCAGAGACTGGATTATAAGAAATTTCCAAGTTTAAAAAGAATGAGTAGATTTATTTTTTTAAACCTCTAAACGTAATTAGCTATCACCCTAGCAAATCTTTTTTCATTATGTTGCTCTAAATTATATCAAATGTTGACATTTATATTTAAGTATCCAAGTCTTAACTGTTCTTCCACCTTTGCTCTTCTCTGGAAACCCAGCTTTACAGAGTGTTTCTTCTTCTCTTCAAGCTCATCTAAGCTAAATTGGGCCTCCCAGCCTTCCCCTTATCTGCGCAGGATTTGTCCTGGGGGGAAATCTCTTTCTATTTCTTAGAGTAGATGCAGCTGCCTCTGAGATGTCAGGTTCCACTGCTCTGGGGAAATATTAGAGAATTAAGGATGGGGTTTTCCTGTTCTTCAAGCCTCCACCCTTGAAGAGTTGATGAAGTCTGTTTCTGCTGGCCAGCTTCCTCCTAACCTGAAAAAGCAATTGCTTTAATGGTAAATTTAAATTTTGTGCTATAAAAACCTTTCTCCAACTTGGCAACTAAGAGGAAATATGGAACCAAACAAAATGCCTTTTGAACTGGATTTGACTTGTTTAATTGTATTTGTTCAAGAATCAGAAAGAATAATTTTCTTTGTCTCCTGTCCTTAAGTCTCTTGAGAGACATAGTTGTAATTGTAAATTCCTTCAGTCCCCAAAATGCCTTTATTTCAATGTAACTGGTTTTCTTCATAATCCTATGTGTTTTATGCATTTATAATATTCTTCTGAGGAGGGGGCCCGTGTACTTCACATGGCTGCCAAAGTGATCAGTGGCCCAAAAACAGGTTAAGAATCCATGTAGGGCACTACCCCGGAGAGCGCTAAACAGGCATAAAGTGTTTCTTGACCTTACCAAATACAATATTTGGAACACTAAATTTCCTGCTAAGAAATTTAGAAATTTAGGGCCGGCCGAGTGGCGCGTTGGTTAAGAGCTGGCTTGGGATGCCAAAGGGCCCCAGTTCGGATCCCACATATGAGGGCCAGTGACACTGCCCTCTACAGCTAAGATGCTGAACAACAGCTCAACCTGGAGCTGGGCTGCCGTGAGTGGCTGGCGACGGCATAGGCTGCAGTGGGTTGCTACGGGCTACCGTGTGTAGCCAGCAGCCAGCGTGAGCGGCCAGCAGCCACAGAAACCGGCGACTGATCTGCCTCGCCCGGGAGGAGCGCAATGATGGTTCCAACTTGAGCCAGTGAAGCAACGTCCTCCACAACTAGACTGAAGAACAAAATGACAGCAACTTGTCTGTTCCCCTTCCCCCAATTCCCCAGCGCTATTCCCATCCCCTCAATTCCCCAATAAAAATCTTTTAAAAAAAAAAGAAATTTAGAAAATTTATAAGAAAAGGCACATGTCATTTTAACTGGTCAACACATACCTCAGGTTTTAATTTGCACAGAAGCTAGGACCAAACTTCCCTTCTCTTCTTCGTTCCTCTCTGGGTAACTGGTACCATCCACGTCATATATGGCAGAAATCTGCAAGTTCCCCTAGAGTTGCCCGGCTTTCCTCTCCTGCCATTCAAATTTAAGCAAATATTAAGTCCTGACAATTTTACTCCTCTAAATTTGTGTGGTTCCTTCTTGTTCTTAGGCTAAAGGCTGCTGTCTTAAGTTAGGGACTTTCTCTAGGACTGCTCTCTCAGACTACCCATGTTGGGTCCCTCTCCACCCCCAGCTTATCTAGCTATATAGAAATAAGAAAGATAAGATAACTGAGTCCCAGTAAAGTGAAGTCCAAGGTTACCAAGCTTGTTACAGCAAAGCAACAGCTCAAAACTGGGATTGTGTTCCCCAAATATAGCTACTTTATTTCTCCCTTGGCTTTTGCTGTATAATTGGGTTTTTTTACTCCTGTGTAAGAACCTTGATTTGCCATTGTGTCCTGGGTTGCCTCTCTCCCAACCCCCATCCTGTGTGAGTCATGTTCATCAGAGAAAACTTTAGTTGTATACATTTTATGAATAAACTGCTTTGACTAGCATGCAGATCATTTATATCGTTAAGCTATCTTGGCCTCACTAGCATGCTTCACATTTTGAACATTTGGTGAATCATGCAGAGGAAATGGGCTTTTACTGGCGAGGTGGCTGTAGAACTCCCGAATTTTGAGCAATTCTTAGAAGCCTGCCAACGTCTTTTAACTATGGAAGCTATTTCGTCTCATATTACTGAAAAAAATTATATTCGTTTTCCATGGAAGCACCTCGTGTTTTTAAAGGCTGGCATCCCCATAAATTCATACATTCAGAGACGATTCTTCTCAGGAAAGCCCGTCTCTCTAGCGAAACCCATGGGACTGAAGAGGTCGAGCAGCAGCGAAGAAATGAGTGAGAATAAAACTCTTAGTGGACAGTTAGCATAATTTAGCTGCTGCTGTGGTGGTGGTAGTTATATGCATATCATTCTGCAGGGCGCATTGTGAGCATGACACAGCTTCTTCAAGGAAGCTGGGCTTTGAGCTATGCAACATAACTTGAAACCTGAGAAGGCAGCCACTGATGTCACAAGGTGTCCTTCTATGTCCAGGCCTCTAATCAGAGAGCCAGATCTCCTTCATGTCCATTACAGCTGAGGGACGGAATGCTTCACTTAACTGCTCTGCAAAAATGGGGATTTCACAGACAAGTGTCATACTTGCCCTGCTGAACTCATGGGCTTCTGGTAAACAGCAAGTGAAAGAAATGTACGTGAAAGCATTTTGTATTAGAAACACAAACATGTAGGAGGAAAAACCCTGATAGTTCTGCAAGTAATAGTCATTGTGCTCAGGGACTCTCCTGATAAGTGTTGTAATATGGGAAGAGAAATCGGTCATGAGCTACTGGGAGTTTGGGTATGGTTAAAAAACAAAACGTAAGTAATAAATCCTTATAAAATATAAGGAGAAATTACTCTTTAACAGAAGCACCCTGTTCAGACCATTTATATGTCTAGGAGAACAAAACCTTTAAAGCTTGTTTGCAAATAAAAAATCTAAATTATTCTTACCTTTTGCTGTATTACTGCTTAATACATTCTAAACTATTAAATTAAGTCTCATACTTCAGTTAAATGAACATCTGAGAATAATAAAGGATGTGGAACGAAATACTATCATAAGCACACTTTTATGCAAACCTATGCGCCATTCTGAAGGGCCCTAATTGCCTAGTAATGGGTGATAAAATCTGATTATTATGCTTTACCTCATAACCATTATTTAATCTGTTAATGATGACAGCTTTAAACAAATTAAGGATGTGGAAAAAAGTAACTGAAATAGTTACAGCGTTAGCTGTTCTATAAAAACACCTTGCCAAGAGAACTATTATCACCGTAAGTATTGAGCATTTCCTCTCGTATTTCCAGGCATACTTGAGGTTAGAATAATTTTCCAGTTCCTCTCCGTGCACCAGGGAAAATTATAAAAATGAAAAGCTAGTTCTGCTGCCTCGCTGGCCACCAGCTGGTCCTATGACTGCCCAGGAGAAGCTGGTTCTTCTTTCATACCATGAATGACCATGTCCCGCCCCTCTCCAAAAACGCGCTGAGATCCAGCCGCTAGCTCTTTCTCTGACTTCCTTAAAACCCTGTCTCAATTCTACCACCAGTCTGCGAAGAACAGGGCTATTTGTCCATCTCTCTAACTCCACAGTTAGTTCACAGTTAGTTAATCACCCACCCTCAACGATTCCAGCGTGTTTTTCTGGCCCCACTCCTCCTCAAGAAAAGAAAATAGATTGTAAATTTAATCTCAGGCAGGGCACCCCGTCTGGTGAAGTACTCTCCCAACCGCAGTCATCAGTTGATCCTTAGTGGATCAAGCCACAGTCTTTAGCGCTTCCTCACACCATAATAAATGAAGCTTTACATGGATTATCTCATGGAATCCTCATGAAAAAAAACCTGTGAGCAAAGTACTATAGTTCCTAATCTGCAGATGCAGAAACTGAGGTTAATAGAGGTTGGAGAGCTTGCCCACAGCCACACAGTTGGTCGGTGGGGCAGCCAGCACTCAATTCCAGACCTGAGAAGTGAGCATCCATGTTCTATGTTCCCACACCGTGCAGCCTTTCCAGATATTGTATTCTCATAAGTGAAAACAACAATCTTTCTTTCAAAGCAGTTTTAGAAATTAGTTAGCTGGAACTGATTATCTTGTTGTTAATTCTCCTTTCCTCTATTCTCCGCTCCAAACCACAGAGATATATACCAGAGATGGGAACTCCTATGGGAGACCTTGTGAATTTCCATTCTTGGTTGATGGCACCTGGCATCATGAGTGCATCCTTGATGAAGGTCACAATGAGACATGGTGTGCAACTACCTTAGATTATACATACGATAAAAAGTGGGGCATCTGCTTAACACCAGGTATGTATGGGCTAGTACACTTTATATATGGAAGGAAAAGGATACCCTTTCTATGAGGCAAAAGGGAGAAGGAAGACTCCAAGATGATTCAAAAACGGCTACAACAAATATTATCCTAGATGAGGAGTATATATTTGAGGAAAGAGGGAGAAGTAATGTGTCGCTATGAACTTGCTTTCAGAAGTAGGACAGGAAGAGAACGAAGGCAGGATGGTGTCGTGGAAGACAAACGATGAGGGAGTGTTCTGTAGCACAGACACCGCAGGGAGAGGAAGTGTAAAAGGCATGGGCCGTTAGGAAATTGCTGCTAACCGTTCACAGAGAAGTTTCAAAGACTGGTGGCTGTAGAAGCTGGGTTATAGTGGACCGAAGCGTGAACAGAAGGCGAGTAAGCCTCTTAAGTTTTATGGGAAAGAAAAAGAGAGAGCGAAGGTGGCAATTTGAGCAGGAGACAGGTTGAAGAAAACCTTTTAGGATGGTGGACATTTAAATATGTTTATGGCTTGCAACAAAGAGTGGGGGGAGGGGAGCAAAAGAGACAGATATCCCTGGCCCTCTCAAAATTGGTGCCATTGTTCTCTCTGCCATTCCTATATATTGGTCAGAGCATTTTTTAAAATTGCTTCTTTTTTGAAGCAAACAATTCAAGGTGTTCTAAAGAATTCACAGAGAGAGAGAGAGAGAGAGAGAGAGAGAGAGCAGTTGCATCATTACCTGGTGTATAAATCACCAATCAGGTGAGAGTTATAGGGGACCACAGTACCTGACATGTGGTAGGTACTCAAGAAATGTTTTTCATGGGCAACAAGTTGGGAGAATCTTTAGTGAAGAAAAAGGGACACACGCTCCAGACCTAAGTGAAAATGCTTAATACTTACAGGGCCCTGGTAAGTGTCAGGTCCTGTTCTAAGCACCCAACCTGTATTAACTCATTCAATCCTCACACAACCCTGTATAGTAGAAACCATCATTTGTTCCCATTTTACAGATAAGCACAATGAGGCACAGGGGAGTTAAATCATTAGCCTAATGTCACACAGCTAATAAATTTCAGAGCTAGGATTTAATGCTCTGAAGTCCTTGTCCCAAACAACTATACCATCCTACCTCATTCAGCAGCCAATCTGGTGATTTAGTAAGGCAGATGCCTCCTCGAGGAAAGTTGAGCCTCAAAATGCAGAGTTTTAAATGACTTGAAGAGGTTACACTGAGCCAATGATTCTCAAATTTTAGGATGCAACAGTGTCACTTGGAGAGTTTGTTAAAACACAGATTTCTGGGACACACATCCAGAACTTGTAATTCAATAGATTTAGAGTGGGGGCCAAAGAATTTGTATTTTAATGAATTCCCAGATGCTGCTGCTGATGATGATCTGGGGGACCTCACTTTAATAATTACCTTTTTAGGTAGAGGCATGGGTTTTTCAACACTTAGAACCTGTTGAAAGATTAAAAAGACAATATTTGCTTCAGCCATAATTAATAACAAGCAGAGTTTGGTCAACCAGGCACCAGTTCATTTAAATCTCACTATACTCTGGATAAGAAATTTTAGATGTACCAGGGAGGTTAGGGGTTCTCCAGTGCAAACCCCCACTTCTTAGGTGAGGGGCAGCAGACCCAGACTGATGAAATGAGCTGTCAGGGTCAGCCCCCACTCATGTGGAGCCTGGTGGCGATCCCAGGATTCCTGAACCTTATACCCCAATGGGTTTATCCCACTCTGCCTTGACTGGCTTGCGTCTCAATGCCTTTAGCCCCCTTTGAGCCATGGAGGGAGGGTTGTTAATACATTCATATGACTTCCAGAGTTATTTTTATAGAAGAAGCAAGACTGGGACTTTTTCAAACCTAAGGACTGCTAAACCATGGAGGTTTTATTTTATAGCAAACACACTGCCATTCCACTGGAAGCTTCTGGATTTACAAGTATAGGGCCTCAGGGAACCTTTAGGCAATATACTTATAAATCCACCTATTTTGTTTTCACCAACTGTCACAGCAACCTCTGTTGTTATTTAGGCCATTCAAAAGTGGCCAAAGGAGCAGTGTTCTGAATGGCTGAATTCAGAAGATCAATAAGACCAGACTTAGAGAGCAGTGCTCTGATTATAGCTCTGCCACAAACATCTCTACATCTTTGTTCCCATCTGTGAAATGAGGACATTAGCCTTCCAGTTTGAAAGGCCATGTGATGTGTGGCTGGTTATGGGAGGCCCTTTCAAAAACCCCAGGGTGAAGCCTAGGACACACTTGATGTAGCCTCTGGTAGAGAGCACATGGGAGTCTCTGAGTATATTTTTGAATCAGGTGTATTAGCTAGGAAACAGCTTGAAGGTCTTTTGCCCGAAATGATACATGCTTTTTAAATATTTGTTAAAGAAAACGATATGTACATTATATAATGAATTATATGTTTGTATACCTATGCACACATGTACATATACCTATATAATGATAATCATATATTAATTATATATATATCATATATTAAATCATCTGTTAAAATATTAAGAAGAAACTTTCACTGAGTTTCCCAAGTAACGTAGCCAGTTGGGCTCGAAATCTTGATGAGCACTTAAGCAGCATGTCTGCAGGCTGTGGGAAAACGCCTCTGCAGCCTGACGCCATCTTCACGTGAGCTTATTATCTCAGGGTTTTAACAGTGTGAGCACAGTGGAAGACTCCTACCGTTAGGCAGAGGGCAGGCATGGGCTAAAACATGGCCTCGTAATTGATAGGGGATAAAGGGAGAGGGGAAGATAGGAGAGTGGAAGCTTTACCCAGCCTGAGTCATTTGGGGTCCTGTGACTTTAAATTCCTTGTGTAACCAAAGAATCAAAATGTGGTCTAGTCAGGGGCCGGCACAGTGGCGCGATGGTTAAGAGCTGGCTTGGGACGCCAGAGGGCCCCAGTTCGGATCCCTCATATGAGGGCCAGTGACACTGCGCTCTACAGCTAAGATGCTGAACAACAGCTCAACCTGGAGCTGGGCTGCCATGAGTCGCCGTAGGCTGCAGCCCCTGCTGCAGTGGGTTGCCATGG